TTTTTAATAAAATGCTGAAGTGGTAGGTAGATGCAAGATAAAGGTAGAAAACATAGTTTAGTGCTGTAAGAGGGCAAATGTAGATGATCAGATGATCAGGTGTGTGCCTATGGACTAAGTATTAATCCAGGCTAGACAAGGGCAGCAAGACATCCACGGATGCAGAAGATTTCTCTCAAAACAGGGGGGGTGAGGTTCTGAGCCTCACCTCTGTTGATCCCCAATTTCTCACCTGATGGCCCCCCTGCGACTGTGCCTGTCTTAGGTTGTTCCTCCCTTGAGGAATCTTACCCGTCTCTGGCTAACCAGTCATCTTCCGGGGCCATACAGGGAAATGTAAAGTTGGTAAGTGAGAGAGAAGCCATATTCTTTGAAAAGGTTAGCTTTTTACTTCTTTGCAGATTTATGCCCTGTGGCTTCTATGCCCAGCATTTGTCTTGAGGTATCTTTACCACTTGGAAGAATTATGATACTCGATAATTTTCGATATGAGGCACGAATTCTACTAAAGGGCTGTAATTAGGAAGGAAGAAGAAAAGCTATAGAGGTAGCAGACGGAAGAAAACATGGGAAGATTGATTATTTCTTTGATATAACTTTTTGTAGAGTAATATAACCATGTATAGGTTTTAACAACATGGGCTATTTCTTTTGGAAAAGAAAAAATGTTTCAGAGGGAAGCATCCCATAGGGTGGGACCAAAACCCATGGAAATCCATGAATTAGAGACCTACTTCTGAGGAGCAGAACCAGACCTAATCAAGGAAGATTCCTTGCTACCAGGCAGGGGCCCGGATGGGCTCAGATGGATTCCAGGATTGCTATGGATCAGTGGCCTCCACATGCCTACCCTGCCTATTCCAAGTGTCAGCAGCAGTTATCTTGACCCCATTTCAATACTGTGTGTAGGTGTGTGGGAGGCAGATCACACGTGTTTTTGATGTACAAATCTGTGGCTCAAAGAAAGAAGCAGCTGCAGGGCCTACCCCACATCTGGGCCTGATGTGGATCCTGAGACCATGGACCTCATACCCACTGTTGGGATGATGAGTTTGGGGTGGGGGTCTCATAAGCGCATGAGTTTTGCAGACGGCAAGTTGTGAACTGTTGGGGCCAGGGGGTGGACCACCGTAGGTTGTTGCATCAATGGTTCCCAGTAAATGAAACCTCTCAGTACCCACATCCTTGTATAATCAGCTCTCAAACACTCTGGGCTTGGCCACAGAACTTGTTCTGGCCAATGCGCATCAGCAAATAAGTTGTGAGCAAATGCTTAATAAGCTGTAACTGTGTTGGGATCTTTCTGGAATACTGTTGCCCCTATATCCATACTGAGGAAGCCCAGTCTAGACCAGCCCTCTTAAGGATGGGCACAGTAAGAGAAAGCCCCGGCTGACCCCAGTCCCAGATGGATGCTGTCATAGGCGAGAGAGATCCATCAAGAGAACCACTGGCCAACACAGAGAATCATGACAAATGATAAAGTGTTGTTTTAAGCATTAAGATCTGGGACAGTTTCCTACTCAGCACGAGTTAACTGCAACAGGACTTTTCATCACAATAGAAGAAGCTACAAGAAAATGAGCAACATCTTCAAAATTATTGTCGGAAAAATTATTTTTCACCTGGTGTCTTATTTGTGTTTAAACTATCAACCAAGCAATAGTGTAGAATAATGCCTTCAGATAAACAAGCTCTCAAAATTTTACTTCCTCTGTACTCTTTGTTGAAAGATGAGCTCCAGGAGATGAGGAATTAAGCCATCAAAGAGGAAGAGATGGGTTTTAAGAAAGAAATATTTAACCCAAAAGAAATAAAAACTGAACAGGCAAATTCCCAGGATGATTATAAAGGGAATTCCCATGGGAACAGCTGTACACAGGCCGAGCTCATTAGGAGAGGAAAACAGAAGACTGGTAACGGATGTCTCCCAGGAAAAAAAAATTCAATATGGTAAGAGGAGATTTACCCTTCGGGTAGGGAGACGTACGATGCATTAATTATGCCTACTTAGAAATCAAAATGGATAAAGAGATAAAATATTAAAAGAAAACAAAACAAAATGTACAAGAAGGAAAACAATCATTATAATGCCACAATTTGGCGAAGAGTCTTTGCATTTGTCTATGTGCATGAGCACAGATGCACAAACGTCTGTCTACATTGAGCGTGGGGATTGCCAGTGAGCTGGTTTCTTATCTTACACATGAAGAGGTAAATAAATAATATTTAAAATGGAATACTTAAGACATAGAATCATATGGAGGCTTTACAGAAATATGTGGGTCATATAACAGGAAAATCAGCTAGAAGGGTGGGTATATAGCCACTTCTTTGAGGTGGAGTAGAGGTGACAGGGGACCCCAGTCTGCTGCTTTTGTTATGAGTGCTATAGAGGGACTTGACTAAAGTGATGTGCTTGAACATCTCTGATGACAAGGAAAATTTTATTATCTGAGCATCTGTGTTGTTATTGAAATTCACAATCACTACGGAAGTTAACAATTCTTATTTTTCTGGATTAGCTGCAAGTCCAAGGATGCTCTGGGGAGAGTGCTTAAGAATAACAAACGGGAGGGTAGCACGTGGCCCAGAAAATGGAAATTCTGGAAAGGGTGGAGAGAATTACCTTTAATTTAATGACTCATTACTGCCTGTTCAGCCAGAGGAGATCATGCCGCAGGGTGGAACATTTCACAATGAGTGTCCTGACCAAGGCCAAGAATGGAGGCGGGCAATGGCAGAGGCCTACTCTGAGGCCTGGGCTAGGGCTGTCCTGTGCATCAGGACGACTGACAGCAGAGCCGCAAGCACAGCTTATGTAAGTTGAGCAAATGGACTACTGTGAGATCATGAAGCCAGGGATAACTGTATTTTAACTGTTAGAGAAGGAAGACAAGCTTTGTTGAAGGCACAGGGGGAGAGAGAGGAGGGGAAAGGCCAGGGAAACAGATGAGAGGTTCACAAAGATGGCCCACGAAGCCCAGAGTGCAGGTGAAGCACCGTGGACGACCATGGCAGCTGCCACGCAGCGCTCTCCCCGTTTACGACCTCTACTACAAATGAGGTTAAATAATCATGTGCTGTCTCCTGTCCCCAGGACAGAGGTCAGAGAACAGAAACAACATCTGTGTAAAGTAAACCAGCGGTACCTGGCTTGCTGCTCCCTTGCCGCCCGAGGGTGCCCTGGGTTCTGCAATCTCCTGTCAGTGAGAACTGCCCACCTGGTCCCCAAAGGTCTGCCAACTCCTCATATATTTCCAGGCCATGCATTGGTTTGCCCCCATATTCAGCAAGTATCCTGGCTCACCTCCTGTGATAACGGGCACAGCCTCTGCCCTCACGGAGATATTATTCAATGTGATGGGCACAGACGGTAAACAAGCAAACCTCAAGCAGTGCATCTGATAGGAATGGCTGTTTCATGGTGAATTAAAGTGGCAGAGCTGCTCCAGAGATGACAGCAAGCCCTGTTAGGCAGCCTTCCAGTATCACCTCCAATGATCCCTGGCTTCTGGTACCCACACCCTTGCACAGTCCTCAGTTCTTGAATTTGGACTACTAGTTAGTTGATTGCTAGAAATAAAATATAGCAGAAGTGATAGCATAACACTTTCGTGATCGGGTTATAAAAGAGCATGCCTTCTGCCTTGCTTAAACCCTCTGTCTGGCTCTTTCCTCCTGTTTGCTCTGATGCAGCAAGCTGCCACATATGAGTTTCCTCCTGGAGGGGCAAGATGGGGAGAGTGGCCATCGCTGAACAGAGGCCATCAGTTCCATGTCCCTGGAGGGACTCAGTATCAGCAATAACCACATGAGTGAGCCTGCCCCAGACCCTTCCTCAGTCAGCCTTAAGAAGGAAATCTTCGACTCCATTGATATCTGGCCTGCAGCTTAGGAGAGGTCTCCAGAGACCATGCCTGGAGCCACAAGAACTAAGAGGTAATACACGTGCTGTTTTAAGTCACTGAGCCTTGCGGTACTTTTTACACAGTAGTATCTAATGCGCTTATATGTAAGATACATTCCTTTCTCTTTCTTTTTTAATCCATTCAGTCTTTGTCTTGTTATTGATGCAGTTGGTACTTTTTATTGTGATATAACTACTTTTATATTTTCGCTTAAATCAACCATTTCATTTTGTTCCTTCTATGTAATGCAATTGTTCTCAGCCTCTTTTATCTTCTTTCTGGCCTTGTTTGGTTTGATGGAGAATTTTTATCATTTGGTCTCTTTAACAATTTGGACATTTGAAAATTACATGATGCTCTCTAACTCAAAGTATCATGTTATCTTTTCTTTGCTCTTAGACAAGGACTTCTAGTATGCAAACTACTTTACATTTTGTGTGTGTTTCCCCTTTCTGTGTAACTGTGTTTCTGTTGTCTGTTGTTTTCTCTCATTCTCATTTATCATGCTTTTTTTAAAATTGTGTGACTGTCTACTTTTGTGTGATGATCATAGCATTTAAGATTATCTAGAGGGATAATCTGAGGTATATGAAATGGAATACTTCTTAACAGAAGATATTCCTTTTCTTTTCTATGACTATGGGAGAAACATTCTAGGAATACTTTAGTTCCAAATGCAATGTTTGAGGTTCTCTGCGAGATCCAGGAGATGAAACAGGTGGGAACACACACAAGAACCGATTAACTTCAGATTTATATTTACCTTGCTGTTGAAGCCACTTTGAACACCCGCTTAAAGCATGGGTAGGCATCAGGCTTCTCCTGCCCATAATCGCAATATTGCAGATGGTTCTTCTTGACTAGCAAATTCCTTGAGGGAAAAGCATATTTGAACTACGACTTACCTCCCGGTTCTTGTTTATTATGTCACTAGTTCTTTGCTGTTTTTAGAGTTTTCTTATACCTAACACAGTATTCTTGCTCTTTTTGTTTTAATTACCTAGCTTGCCATTTCTAGAACCAAAAGTCTCTATACCAATAATTTCCATAAGAAAATCAATTAGATTGATTGCCATGTATCTTACAGTTTGGTCATTATTTTGATTAGTGTATTGTTATTTTACATCTTATTTGCTTTTGATGGCCAAAAAATTATATTGGTTTTTACATGATACTACATATCTAGTAACTTTGCTAAGCTATCACTAAGTCTTACAGTGTGTCTTTAGGTATTTTGTGAGTCCTGTATTTAGACAACTGTATCTGTGCACATAAGAATTTGTTACAATATTGCCAACTCTTATATACTTATTTCAGTTGTTATTGTAGTATATTTTCTGGCACCTGGAGAAAATGTTGAAGAGTCAGGATTGGTGATAATGAAAATTTTTATCTTTTCCTAAATTTAATGTAAATATTCCATAATTCATTATTAAGTATAATGCTACTGTAGAATTTTGGTAGACACCTATTTGTAGTAAAGAAATTCGCATCTTACTTCTAATTTCTTAAGGATTTAAAAATCCAGTATGCTTCCTGAATTTCCTGAATCATTTCTACATGTGTTAAAATGATATTTTGCCTTCAAATCATTAATATGTCTTATCATGCTAATAGATATTGCGATATTGAGCCATTAATGCATTACTCAGATACACCCTACCTGATAATCTTAATGCATTGCCATATTGAATTTAATGAAGTTTGATTTTGAATTTTTATGCCACTCTTCAGAGATGGAATTTCTTTCTTATGAAAACATACAAAAATGAAACCCTAACCTAATCTAATCAAAGACAGAACAAGACCTTCTCGGTCCGGCTCTTCCTGTCAAGTACTGACTAAAAGCAGGCTCCGTGTCTTTGTTAGGGAATTCCTCTGTCACCAGACAGCTGCAAAGGAGAAAGTAAAACAGGAATCTTTTTTAAACTAGAATCACCTCTCTTCCAGAAAAAGAAGAGTGGGATTTATATTACACGTAAAAGTTATTCTTGGGAATTTTAATCTTTATAGCGATGAGCCTTCTTATTCAAAAATATAACATGCATTTCTACTTGCGATACTCTTGTATTTTTCTGTCCCTTAAGAATATTTTTACATTCTCTCGCTGTAAGTCACATATATACTAAGTTTACTCTTGAGCATTTCGTTTTCGTTCTTGTGTTTGATTTCTTCCACTATATAGATACATATTTTTTACATATGAAAGCTATAGATTTCATTATTTTAATAAACCCTCTTTTTTATTATATATTTAATTCATTTGTTATGTCTTTTATATGCTCCCTTTATTAACTGAGTTTTCTTCCTGTTTGTAGTATTTTTCACATGGGAATATAAGCTTATCATTCACAGGTAGTTTTACTGCCTCTTTCAAAGTTTTACTCTCTCCTAATCACACTGGCACAAACTTCAGGAAGTGAGCAGCAGTGAATACCATGCAAGGCTCAGAAGACAGAGAAATAAACTCGAGGCTCCAGGTCCCTGTCCTCACAGGGCTGGACTCAGGACTGGATTTAAAGAGAGAGCCTGGGTCAGTGCTGACACAGACACCTGCCTGCTCTGCCTTTCTTACGGCGTTTCTCAGTACCTGTCATTCATTACATAATTACTTAGGAGTTTTGGTCTCTCTCCCCTATAAAACATAAACTCTCTGGGGGCATTCCGCCTTTGAGGTCATCCATGTGTCTTCAGGGACTAGAACACGTAGGCATTCACTCAACATGTGGTGACAAAGCAAATGTGGGCCAGTTACAGCCACAGGCCAAACCCTGCTGGGGGTCACTGTTAGGGCGGAGGGCTTGCGAGAAGCCAGCACCTCCCAGGGGTCTGCACGGTGTCTGTGGCCGCCTTCTCACCGCGCGGCAAAGCCAAACGATCGCCACGACAACAGCATGGCTCACAAAACCAGGAACTGTTACTAGCTCACCATTTACAGGACAAGTCTGGTGACTTTGATTGAAGGCAGATATGTGAAGCCAAGATCTTTTATAACAGGCCATTGGAATCAAGCTTGGTTTGCATCTGCAGGAACTGTTTAACTCCTGGTCTAACCAAAGCCAATACAACCTGCCTTTCTTCCTCACCGAAGGCCGTGCGCCCTCCTGCTCAAACCAAGGGCCAGTGCACTTTCGCAGGGAAAATGCTGCCCCCCCCCCCCCCC